CGCCGCCGCACAGCCCATCGTCGCCCAGAAGAAGGCCTCCGGGGCGTGGGAGGTGTCCATGGTGGCCATGCCGATGATGAGGAGGAAGACGGCTATCTGAATTACCAGGGTGATGCTGATTCGCCGAGAGAGGTTGGCCCGCTCTGCGCCGATGAGCATGTTGGCAATCTGAAGAAGAATATTCGGCGCCTTTGAGGCAATGCCCAGGTAGGAGAGAAAGTGCGTTCGGTAGTTGGTGACCGCCTCGCTTGGATTGGTGACGTTTAGTTTGTAGTTGACAAAGTACTAACAAAAGTGCGTTAAAAAATTAATAAGACTTTTTAATGTATCAAAAAACATCTTCTTACGTTATCCGCATTGATGAGCATGTTCCAGGGAAGGAGGGTGCCGATGCCATTGAGGAGGAAGATGAGGAAGATGAAGTTGAGCCTGAAACAGAAAAACATCTTTTAATTTAAAATTTTTGCAATGATTTTTAATAGTACCTGTCCTTTGGGACGCCGAGGCTGGGCAGTTTAAATCCCATGATTTTTTGTTGTTGGTAATAATAATATTTGTTGTGGTGATGAAGGTGATGATGATGAGGGTAATGGTGATGGCAGCAGTAGGTTAGCGGGTGACTAACTGACTACTGAGGGTGAAGGAAAAAGTGTGGCGAGACGGTGTCTAGAAATCTGGGGAGAGATCAGTTGGCATCAATTGATCTCTCTCTGGTTTTTAATGCAGATAACAGAGGCTGCAGACGACAGAAAAATAAAAATAAAACCGTTGATAGGATCGAGAGTTTTCAGAAGGAAGAGGAGAAATGGAGGAGGACTACTGAAAAGCAGTGCAGTGAGATGATAAGAGAGGGTAGTGGCGATGATAATGGTGATGATGACACAATCGTTTCGTAATGAAAAGGAGAAAAAGGATTTGTTCAAAGTTTGTATACTAAGTGTACGACAGGCGCTCAATTGTGTGTCTGACCAGTGAGTTGACCTGAACCAGAGTGGACGTGGACTTTAAATAGTAATCGCCATCATTTTTCTCATTTCTTTTTCTTTTTCGATGTCGTCTGCAGCAGTTGATGGCAGAGGAAACAGTAAGGAAACATTGGACAGCATCAGCAACAGCGGCAACTCATTGTTGATTAGATAACAAAAGAACTGTACAGCGTGGACAGAAGGAAGATGGCAAGTGTGCCTTTGACTGAAATTGACCAAAAGAGGACAACTGTCTTCAGGAAAACGGCAGCATTGCTGCTGTTGTTGTTGTCAGGGAAACAGGTCCGATCTGGTGAAAAGGGGAAAGAGAAAGAAGAAAGAGAGGGCTGAAAAAGGATGCTGAAATGGTTGCTGTTTCAAAAGAGCGATGAAATAAACAGTGTTGTGAAAGTAGGCTGTTGTACGGCTTCCAACCTGTGTACGGCACTGGCATTTTTGGCAAAGACTCACACTTAAACAAAAAAAATCTTTGAACAGTAATTGACATTGCTGAGTGCTTCAATTTCTAATACCAACAGCACTACTACTACTACTACTACTACTACTACTACTACTACTAGTTTTACTCACCATGTGGGCATAGGTGATTAGTCGATTTTAGTATAAAAAGTGGGAGGATTAACTTTGTCGATGATCGGAGGATTTTCAAACATCAGTTTTGATGAGCATCCGTTTCTTCAAAGTAAACGCACTAAAAATCAAAAAGTTTTAGTGCGAAAAAGAGAATTGAATGTCAAAAATGAAAAGTCAAATTAATAAAAAAAGCCTTTTCTTGAAGCTAACCATTTTTGATCAAATGATGAACACAAGTTCAAAACAAATTTAAACACAAAACCAGTTAAATTTGATGCGAATAAATGCAAAATAAATCACAACAACACACAACGAACTAATACAAACTTTTTGATTAGCAGCTGATCAACAGTGAAAAAAATTCTGACTAAAAATAACACCAATGTGCTGCACACAAAGCAAAGCAAAGCAAAGCAACCGTACCAAACTTTGACTCATTGTGAAAGTTATCCGATGATAACTAGTTTAACCAAACAGATTAAAGAGCAATAAAAATAGTTAGGTTCAATCAGTTGCAATAAAAAAATACGGTACTGATTGATTCTCTCCTTCTCTCTCAATTGGTCAGCACAGTGATTGAGGACAATCAGCAGTTCTCTTATCAGAAACCCAAACAAAACTTGCTCTCTGAGTAGCAAATGTGCACAATGTGTGCGTGTGTGTAATAAACTGATAAGCAGTGTCATTTGCCTCTCCTCTGCTGGTGACCATGACCACGACAAAAGTGCAAAAAAAAGTGTTTCGCTAACTGTAAACAGTTTTTGCAATTAAAAGGCATCAAAAAGGCATCAGCAATTAGTGATGATTGCAATGATTACTACTACAGGGGAGAAGTGCACACTTATTGCTACTTGGTCGGCAAAAAGGTGAAGAGAAAGAGAAGATGAAAGGAGGATGAGGATGCGGAATTTAAGGTGGACACAAAGGAAGAAATTGCTAACATTTTTGTCATTTTTATCCTCTTCTTCTTTTAATGCCAACAACTTTTAGAAATTAGCTAACTGCAAGGTAAACTGCTGCTGCTGCTGCTGGCTGAGAAATACTTTGCATACCTTTCTGTTGCTGCTGCTGCTGCAGGTTTCCACACGTGACACTTGTTTTCCTTTGCGCACTGCAACTTTGTTTTTTGGTTTTTTATTGCGTTATTTTTCATTTAGAGCAACTTGTTACTGCTGCCCACGTTGCCAGCAAGTTAACAACATTTTATTAAAAAATAGCAAAAGTTAAAATTTGTTAAACTGTGGTACCTAAACCTAATTTTTGATTTGGTGGAAAAAAATAGCTGTAACCTAAACTTATCAACCCTTTGCAGCCGCCGCCGCCGCCGACACCTCCTTCAGCTCCTGCTCGATAATCTTGCGGTACTGGGCAAAGCCGCCGCTGAGGCAGGTCACCGTGCCGCCCTTGCAGTGCCACAGCTCGGTGCAGACGCTGGTCAGCAGCGTCTGGTCGTGCGTCACCAGAATGACGCCCCCCGTGTACTCGTTCAGGGCCTTGGCTAGGGCCTCAACAGTCTCCACGTCCAAGTGGTTGGTGGGCTCATCGAGAATCAGACAGTGGGGACTGGAAAAATTAAAAAATGATAAAGAAAATCTTAGAATCAAGAAAACCACCTGTTGATCACCATCATCACCAGCATTTCACTTACTCCGACAGCGTCATCGCCGCAAAGGCGACCCGACTTTTCTGTCCTCCGGATAAGGTTGCTAAAGACTGAAGACTGAGGTCACCGGTCACTCCGAAACCGGCCAGGTACTTCCGGTAGTGCTCCTCGCCCTTTCCCGGCGCCCTCTTCGCCATCAGCTGCAGGGCGCAGTAGTTGAAGTTGAGCTGGTCGACGTGATGCTGCGCAAAGTACCCGATCGCGAGGTTGCGGTGGGCGTGCCGTGTCCCGGACAGCGGCGTCAGGTCTCCGGTGAGAATCTTCAGCAAGGTGGTCTTTCCCGATCTAAACAAAAAATAAAACAATTTTAGTCAAAACCCCAAAAAATCTTCCAAATCTCTCCCCCTTACCCATTATCCCCCACAATACAAATCCTCGACTGAGAGTTCGCACAGAGGTCGACCTTACTAAGCAAGATCTTATCTTTCGAGTAGCCAAAGGAGACCTCATCCAGTTGAAGCAGCGGCGGCGGGAGCGCTTCCGGTTCCGGAAAGCGGAGCACCACCACCGCCTCCGCCTTCACCTCCTCAATTAGCTTCTCCCGCTCGAGAATCTTGATTCGACTCTGAACCAGGGCGGCCGTGCTACTGTTGACCCGGTTCTTGTCGATAAACTCCTGCATGTGCTTCCGGTGCATCTGCTGCGCTTCGTAGTCTCGCTGCTGCTGCCGCTCCTTCTCCTCCATCGCCGAGCGGAAGGAGTCAAAGTTGCCGCGGTGGGTCTCAATTTTGGCTCGATGAATGTAGAGGATTTGCGAGGGAACGCTGGAGAGAAACTGGCGATCGTGGGAGACGACCAGCAGAGTTGATTCCCAACTTGTAGTTAGGTACTCGGTCAGCCAGAGGATGGCCTTCATGTCCAACACTGGAGAAAGAAAGAAGGTAAAAAAAGTTAAAAATTTTGTAAAAAAAATCTTTTAAAGTAGCTCCTTACTGTTCGTCGGCTCATCAAGCAGCAGAAGGTCTGGTCTGAGAAGAGGGAAGAGAAAAAAGGTCAAAATTAGAAAATCATCAAAATCCTCAAAATGCTCCAAATCAAATCGTACTTGCTAAAAAGCGCCCTCGCCAGGGCGATCCTCATCCGCCAGCCGCCGGAAAAGGTCTTCGTCGCCCTTTCTTGAGCTTCAGGACTAAAGCCTAGACCCGATAAAATGGCCGCCGCCTTCGCCGGCGCCTTCTCCGCCTCGATTGCCTCCAGCTCGGCGTAGATCTCATTCAGGTCGGCCGTCTCCTCCAGCGTCAGGTCGCCGCCCTTGCTGGTGTACTCCTTCACCTCCGCCAGCAGCTCCTCCCGGGCCTGGTCCGCCTGGAGGACCGAGTCCAGTGCTCGGGTATCATCCCCCACCACCTCCTGCTCCACGTGGAGGATGCTAATGTGCGCGGGGATGATCAGCGAGCCGTTGGAGATCATATGAAGTAGGGTAGATTTTCCCACGCCGTTTCTCCCACAGAGGCCGTACTTGATACCGTAGCCTAGGATGATGAGAATTAAAAAGAATTTAGAATTAAAAAATCAAGAATAATTTTTTAGTCAAAAAACACTTACTCAAATTCAAACTAGCTCCTTCCAAGAGGACCTGGCTGCCAAAGCTAATGTCAAAGTTCTCGATGCGAATGTCCCGTGATCGGTTCGCCCCGCCCAGGTCCGCCTTGGCTGCCTTCCGGTTCATCGCCTGGCTGACGATGGCATCCGAGACCGGAAGTGCGCGGAACTGAATCTCCGGCGTGTCGTCCCGCTTTCGGGCCTTATCCGCCAGGCGGCGTTCCGCTCGGGCGAGCTTCTTCGGGTCGATGATCTGCCGGGGCTTGTTGCCATCGCCGTCCAGGGACCAGAAGGACTTGCTGGCGCCGTGTTTGACGACAATATAGGGGCGAATGGCGCCCAGGCAGATCGGCTTGGCCAGTTCAGAGAGCTCTCCGTCGCTGTCCTCATCTTCATCTTCTTCTTCCTCTTCTTCATCTTCAGAACCTAAATTGACTCCGCCGTTTTTCAAAGCCTTCGAAGTTCCTCCGCCTTGAAGAGCTACCACCAGAGATCGACAAATAGATTCTACAGTTTGTTCTGAGGAGGAGTTTGAAGCTGAAGAACTTCCGAGCTGGTCGTCGATGCAGGACTGGAGCACCTCGCCGATGGCCTCCTCCACCGCTTCCGGGCTGTTGTACGACTGTACGGCCAGAATCGCCTCGATGTACTCGAGGAGTTGGTCGTCAATGGCGGGAATGGCCGAGCGGATCACCGAGGCGATGGCTGTGGTGCTGGTCATTGTGCTGGTGAGGTGATAATTTGATGGGGTGATGATGATATTGTGCTAGTGGTGATGGTGATGATCACAGAAGAAAAGGAAGATAAGATTTGCTGTACACTCTGGTGTGCTGTGGTATCACTTCACCAGTGTGAAATAAAAAGATAAAAATGGGTACTCTGTTTTCTGGGAACGATCCTTTCTGATTGGAACAGGGTACAAAGCAGAAAAGAGAGAAAAGTACCAAAACAAGAAATCAGCTTGTGTTTGGTGGGCAACGTGTTTGTTGCCCTGCTGGCAAATCATCTGTGAACAGCAGAAGCAGCAACTGTCCGAAAGTGCATCTTACTAAAGCAACTGCTAAGGAGGAGACCTTTTCTCTAACTTTTCACTTTTTTGAATTTTGCTAATTTGCAATCTTTGAGTAATTAACTTATTAGCTACCGCAACTATCATGTCTGAAAATTTGAATGTCTTCAGCAAAAGAAATGATCAGTTTGAAAAACTACCCAACTTTTAGCCTTTTTTAGGCAACGTCATCATCAGAGATCATCAGTGTTTGTAAAAAAACAGTGTCAAACACTGCTGAAAGATCACCGGCAATTTGAGGGTAGTGATGATGAGAACATAAAAAATAAAATTTGAAAATAATGACGCAATTAGCACCGTACAACAACAACAGCTAACCAAAGCAAAGTAATGGCACGGAAAAGTTTTTTTGACTTGAAACTGAAAGCAATATTTGATTTGCAGCAGCAGCAGCACAACTTTGCAAATACGTCATAAACACTGCATTTAGTGCAATTTACTAAAAGTCTAATTGCTCCCGAAAATGGCGAGAAGGGAAAGTCTATTCTTTTCTTTGTTGATGTTGCTTTTCAGTCTTTTCAAAAAAATCAGTAATTTTTTTTTTGGCGTCACACAACAAAAATTGTTGCACACACTGCTGACTACCAGAGTATAAAAAGTATAAAAGGGGGCAGACTAAAAAACAATTACAAAGTATTCTCAGCAGCAACAGCTATTTCATTTTACCTAGTTTATTCACTAACTTATTCTTCTCTCTTGTTTCAAACTTGTTCCCAAAGTGCTTCAACTTAATTGTCCAAATGCCGGGCCCAAACATGGACCAGGAAATTGCCGCCCTTCGAGAACGCTTCGAAAGCGAACTCCTTTGCCAGCAGCAGAACTCCCAAACTCCGGACCGTTTTCACCCCATTGACATACACCGAGTTCGCACCGAGGACTGGCAGGTGAGGCGGTACATCCTCGACGAGGAGGAAGGCGACCTTGAAGCCGCCTACCACGCCCTCATCCGCACCCTCGAATGGAAACAGAAGTGGGGCGTTCACGAGAATCACCTCGCCAGATTTCCCAAGGAGATCTTCGACCTCTACTCCATGGAGCTGTTTGAAGACAATGGAAGTAAAAACAAAACTGGCCATGTTTTCAGCGAGAAAATGCGAGGCCAGCGGCACTACCCGGAACTGGAGCAAATTGCCCGGGACTTTGTGGTCGCCTGGGCGGAGCACGTCGACCAAGTTGTAGGAGAAAAGGGTCATCTCACCTACCTGATGGACTTCAGCGGGTGTAGCCTGCTGAAGATGGACATCGGCTTGACTCGATTTCGCATTGGCGTCTTCAGCCGCCACTATCCTCGCCTGCTGGGCCGCTGTCTGCTGCATCGGGTGCCCAAGGTGGTGCGGCCGCCGCTGAAGTTGGCCATCAGCCAGTTTTTTAAGCAGTCAGTTCGAGAGGCGGTGACGTACACTTCCGGTAAGGAGGAGCTCTTCGGGTACGTTGACCCGGCCCGGCTGCACGTCGACTACGGGGGACTGAGGCGAGAACGGGTGTATCCGGTGGAGGGCCTGGAAAGCGCCTGGACGCTCTACCCAAAGCTAGGACTGGAGCGGAAGTTTGTGGAGAGTTTTCTGAAAGAGGCGCAGATTATCTGCAAAAAAGAACTAACTTATAATGATGAAGATGATGAAGAAAAGGAAAAAAAATGAAGGAAAAAAATAAAGTTTTAGTTTTTTTCTGTTCTTAACTTCTTTTCGTTGTTGTACACTGTTTTTATGAATAATTTGTGACAAAAAAATTAAAATCTGATTTCAAAACTGAAAGTTTTATTTGACAAACGCAAAGGAAAAGAAAAAGAAAAAAAATGAAAAGGAGAAAAGGAAAACACAAGATTCTTTTACAAGTAAAGAAAGTAAAGTAAAGTGTGTGAATAATAATAAAGCAGGATAAGGTAAAGTAAAGTAAGGATAAAGATAAGAACACAAATGTTTACAGTAGATGAAAAGTAATGCAAAAAGTAGATAAAAATAATAATAATTTCTGCTGGCTGGGACAAAAAAAGCTGTGTGTACTGGTATGACTGACATTGACTGGCTCACCACTTTGATGAGAGAAAGAAAGAAGGAGTACAAAAATTTACAAAATGATGCAATGAAGGAAAGAAAAGGTTTTCAATTTAGCACTACAAAGGAAGAATTAAAGAGTTTAAAAAGAACAGTTCACCGCACAAAAGAAAGGAAAGAAACAAAAAGGAGAAGAACAGTTAGAGCAAACGCTGAAACAGCCGTCGTCCTCGGTGGAGCAGCACTTCCGGCGCCGAACTGCGCCTGGTTCAGCTGATTCGTGGACTTATCATTCGTATCCTTAAGGACGGCGCTGCTGTCGTGTGGACTTTTGTGAACTCCACTATTTCCACCTTCATTTTCATTTCCATTTTCATAAACCCGGGTCACCTTGGGAGTGGTCGGCTGGCCACTCTGCTCACCCTCAACACCTCCTGACACGCCCACTTCATTGCCATTCATCTCACTGATAGTCTTTTTGGCCTGCTCGTTATCGTTAGCATCATCATAATCATTTTCAGTGTTCTGATTATCACCACCGCCGGCTTTCAACTTCCGCTTCCGTTCCTCCTCCTCGGTGGCGGAGGACTTTTCCGCCTGAAGAAGAGCCGTCGGGAGTTTGCAGCCGCTGGCCACCTCAGGGTGGGTGATGAAGGCGTAGATCGATTTTGGTCGACGGTCCGGTGGACTGCTTCGAATGAAGGGCAGCTGCTGCTGGGGATCGGCTTCCGGGTACTTGCAGTCCACCGTTTGCAGCTCCTGCTCGACGATGGAGTCGTAGAACTTGAGGGCTTTGCTCATCCAGGCGATGCTGCAGGTGCACTGGATTTCATTTCCTGGAGTTGGGAAAAGGAAGGGAGAAAAAAATTAGGTTAATAAACAGTTTTTTTCAAGTATGAAGTCATTTGACTGTTTTTTTATTTAGCTAAAAGTCAATGACCAAAATCAAGCCATAAACTTCTTTGAGAGAAAGAGAAGGTCAATAACTGCCAGCAGTACCGTCTGTTTGCCTTTACAACATGTTTTCTTTCTTTTTTTCTAGCAAAGGTCAGAGAACAAAAAGAGAGAAAGCAAACATCTGCTCACTTGACTTTTGTTTAGTGGCCGGGTGAGAGAGAGCAATGACAGAGCTAATTGAGCAAATCGAAGCAGCTTGTTGGCTGCTGGCTCGCTGGTATGGCACACCACAAAACAAAAAGTAAATCTTTACAGAATTTTTTTAAAAAAAGTTTTGCAGAAAGTGCTAAATTTCACTTTTGTTTGCTTGCGCTCAGGAGCTCATCGCCAAACAAGTGAAGAAAGTTTAAACTTTTAGTTTTTTTTTCGTTCACAAGTGTTTGTTTGGGCGCAGTCAGTGCGCTATGATAGTTTTTTTAGGCAGTCAGTGATTTATTTTGCAGCAGGTTTTTTGCGTTTTGTTTTGATTTTATCGTTAAAATACAGAAACTGGGATTTTAAAACTGGATTTTTATGATTCAAATCAGAAAAATTGATTTTTGACTAATGTAATTTTTTATTATTGCGGAAACTCTGATTTTTAATATTCTAACAATTTATTGCTTTCACTGACAAAATGGAACATAAAATACAAAAAATATTTGTCATAATAACAGCGAATGAAATAGACTTCACTTTTAGGGCGGAAACTCATATTCCCTGCCAATTTTTTTTATTAGCAGGGGGTTGATTAAAGAGACAGTTGATTTAAAAGGGCAATTTACTGATAATTTTAACGAGTTTGGCCATTTATTTTAATCTTGATTTTTAGCTTCTTTTTTATAAACTTGTCTGCCAGCAAAAACTACTTTTGTCTGGAATTTTTGCCCAGGCGAAAATTTTTGCCGTACAAAAATATTAAAAAAGATCAAAAACAAAAAAAAAGAAAATGCGACAACTCCTTTTCAATTGCTTATTAAATTTAGCGCAATAAACGTATTATTGAATTAAATTAGAAACAAAAAGGCAAATAGCATTAAAAAATGTAGAAAAAAACGACTGAAAAAATAATCAGTTGAGGCCATCTTTTCAACACATTTGCCAACATAAAAAAGGATTTATTAAATTAAGAGTCACTACTTTCAAGTGTACAGAAATTACCGGCAGAAAAACTTACGTACCACATTTTGCATGTCAAACACACACACACACACACAC